TTAGCAGAGTGAGCACAAGTTGGGGAGGCGCAGAGGGAGAGAAAGAGAGGCTAAGCACAGAGCCTGATATGGGGTTTGGTCCCTCGACCTTGAGTCACAACCTGAGCCGAAATCAAGAGTCAGACGCTCAGCCAACTGAGCCACCCAGGCGCCCCTGACACATTCTTTGAAATGGCTACATTTTGCCACAGTGTAAATGTACAGCCATTCCTTCAACCACATCCCCCTTTGATGGCTCCCGGTTGTTTCCTTCGTCACCACGACAGGGAAATGCAGCATTCGGTATCTGTAGCGAACATGGCTTTCATCTCTGTAGGACGGAGTCCCTGAAGTGGGATTACGAGGCTGAGGGGTGGGGGTCCATGTCAGCAGGCTCTGCCGGGTTTGTTTCTGAACGTCTCGTGTTCCCCCATGTTTCCCTGCCTGTAGCTGCCCGTGACTGGTACAGAACCAGTTTGGTTTTATTGATCTGATGGGTGAAAAATGGTATCTTGTTTTGAATTGGAGTCCTTGGGGTGCCTGGGTGGCTCAGTCGGTTAAGCGTCCAACTTTGGCTCGGGTCATGATCTCACAGTTTGCGGGTTCAAGCCCCATATCGGGCTCTGTGTTGGTATCTCAGACCTTCCCTCTCTCTGCCCTCCCCCAACTCCACTCCCACTCTGCTGTGCTCTGTCTCTCAGTCTCTCTCAAAAATAAAGATACATTAAAAATTAAAAAAACATTTTTTTTGAATTGCAGTTCTTAACCTCTGGTATATTGGTGACTTTTGATGGAAAGATCAAGATTCCCTACCCTTGTATGTACTCATTTCAAATTATAAAGACCAGGTGGCAATTGAGAAAGGAGGAAATTCCAGTCTATGAAGAAGCTGTGGGAATAGAGCAAGAGTCACCTATATATACCAGATCCTTAGTTACTTTTGTTGTTGTTGTTTTTAAAGCCTATTAAATACTTTCCAACTTGGGTTTTTTAGAAGTGAAAATGTATAAAACACTGAAAAAAGTACCTTCTTATTTACTGTAAAGGGTTTTGAGGGCACCTGGGTGGCTCTGTTGGTTGAGCGTCTGACTCTTTCTTGACTTTAGCTCAGGTCATGATCCCAGGGTCAGGGGATGGAGCCCCACGTTGGGCTCTGCGCTGAGCTTGGAGCCTGCTTAAGATTCATTCTCTCTCTCTCTCTCTCTCCCTCCCTCCCTCCCTCCCTCCCCTTCTCCTCCCTCCTCTGTTCCTCTCCCCTCCTTGTGTGTACGCTCTCTCTAAAAATTAAAAAAATATATGTATTAAAAAAAGGGTTTTCTATTTCTCCCTGCCTCCCTTCCCCGTTTGTCAAGCACTTGAGATATTATTTGAGCTTCATAAGAATCTTCACGGGTAAGAGAGGAAAGGTCAGTGCCAGTTTGCAGATGGGGAGACATCCTTAGAGAACCCGTCGTGCCCGAGGGGAATGAATGGGAGAGAAGGAACTAGAACTCAGGCCTCCTTGTCCTCTGCTGTAGGTTTTGTCTCTTGGGTCTCTTGACTCTTGATCTTGGTATGATATGTGGCTGCCTTGTGGGGACCCCTCATTTGTTCGTGTCTCACTGGCCTTGGGTACTTTGTCCTTCTTCCTGATCGATGTACGTAACGCCCCACCTCCCCTCCATCCGTTCCAGCCACGTGTGGCTACGTCTGCTTGTGTGATTCAGTGGCAGGAACGAAGGGTGTGGTATTCCAAAACCCAGGTTTGAGTTCTGACTCCCTTTGTGTCTTGTAAAACTGCAGATCACCCCAACTCTACAAAATATCGTGAGGGCCACATGAGATAAGCGTAGGCGAATGCATCGGTTTATGCCTTCGTAACGTGCTCTTGTAAACATTACTGAGCACGTGCCGCCATGGCTCTTAGCAGAGGGGAATCCAAAAATGGCATGCCCTTCGGAGAGGCCTTTCTATCCTGCATGAAGCAATTAGAACACAGTGGACATTGGTACGTGAGTGCCGAATCGTGTGTCGTGAGCCATAAATGGCGTATGGGGTAAAGACAGGGAGAGACCGGTAAGGGAGGTGGTGAAGGAGGTGAGAGAATTGAGCCCTGAGTCAGCAATTGCAGAGTTAGTAGAATTCACATGTTTTCCCTCTTACCTGGGTCTTTTCTCAAGCCCTCCCGTTAGACTGATCATTTCCGTACGAGCCTCCAGATTGGTGCCCAGCTGGTTGTAGAGATGGTTACCTAAGGGCACTTATGGATTCGTGGGCTCCATCCTCAGAGAAAAAGTGAAAAGCACCACTGGAAAGCATGGGTGCCCATCTCGAGAACTGGAGTGTTTAGATGGGAAAGAGATGAACTGATACAGTTACAAGCAAGATTATTGAAGTGGGAATGATAACTATGTAGGTGGTTCTTGGCTTTTATGCATCTCGGGCGTATACATATCTTTCGTTGCCATGTTTAGATGGTCTTGTAATGCCCGATTAGCGTTTCTGCCTGTCAGCTGACAAATGCAGATTTCCACAACTCTCGGTAGCCCTTCTGCCAGCTAAGGATTTCGTTGTATTACCCTGGTGTGTTTGTCGTGGGACAGTTTTCATTGACACGACTAAGCGACTCTTTTACTGCATTTTCTCTTTATTTTATGAGTGAGGACGGAAGCAAATAAGGGGCAAGAGAGTAGAATCGAGACGAAGATGTACATTGATGTTCACGCCAAATGCCTCAGTGCAATCGTTAACCTCCGTAGGGGACCTGTCAGGTTTGTCCTTGAAGGGTGCTTGGTCATAAAGAGCAAAGTGGGGGATGTAGGGCCCTTGTTACTCAAACAACGGTGTCAAGAAGGCTCAGTTCTCACAACAGAACTCCCCTCCCACCCCCCATATGTAAGCATACAGTTGACTTTTGCTCATTCTGTTTCCAAACATGTTTTCACAAGTGCTTTGTGTCATCGCGGAAGGAGCGCCTTGTAAATAAATGGCGGTCATCGCACTGCTCAACATTTTGTCATTGAGTCGTAAGCACAAACCAGCAGATGGCTCCCGGTCACCACGCACTTGGCAGGCAGCTCCTTCATCTCACTTAGAATTCTTCTGTTTTACATGCCACCCTACGTCCCCGCTCTTCTCCTCAGGAACCCTGACAGTCAAACATGGAGGGCAAAGGACTGTTCCCTTTGGTTTTATTTTCTAGATTTTGGGTTGCTTGGACTCTTAGAAAGAGCATCCTGGGGTTTCTGAAATTCGGTTTGGAGGCCAAAAGAATGACTTGTGATGACCTTTTCCACCCTGCGTGTCTGTTCTTCTGCAAATTGTTTCATCAGGTTTTTAACTTAATGTTAAAACTTTGGTAAATGTGGCCGGCAGTGAGGAAGGAGAAAATGAGACTGGTTTAAAACTAGAAAATTCTTTGACTGCAGTAGGTTTTATTTTATTTTATTTTAATTTTTTTTAACGCTTACTCATTTTTGAGAGACAGAGACAGAGGGTGAGTGGGGGAGGAACAGAGAGAGAGAGGGAGACACAGAATATGAAACAGGCTCCAGGCTCCGAGCTGTCAGCACAGAGCCCGAAGCAGGGCTCGAACGCAGGCTCACAAACCGTGAGATCACGACCTGAGCTGAAGTCAGACGCCCAACCGACTGAGCCCCCAGGTGTCCCCGACTGCAGTAGATTTTAAAAATGCCATGGCAGGGATCTCCTAGGATGCTAAGTAAGGACATTTTCCTTGTCTGAGCTCTTTGTTTTGGACTCGTACTCCAGAAAGACTGTTTGCTGAACGTAACAAAAACAATTGTGCATTTGCAAAAGGCACGGTGTGAAGCATTTATCGTCCCCAGAGTATCAGCTCCTTGAGGTCAGATATTTCTTTGTATGTCTTGTTCACTTTCGAGTCCTGAGATTAGAGCCCGGCACCTGGCAGGTGCACAGTAAGTATTTGTGGGAAGGATGGACGGACAGGTGGACGAGATACAGAAAAAGAGCAGGATGGAGTCTCGGACCTAGAGAGGTTGGCTGTCTAGCAGGCATGGCTGTAAGTAGACATGGGTTCACAGCTGTATATCCTGCAGAGCAGTTTTACTCTGGGGTTCTTCTTAGGACCTAGGTGGAAGTTTGAGAAAATTCTGGAAGGAAATAAAAAACTTCCCTTCCCTTAGGCTGTGTCGCTTCTCCAAGTCCCCTCCCCACTCCCATCCCCCACCCCCGTCTGAAAATCTTTATCCTCTTCTCGATCCAGTCTGTTCACCAACACTTGGGGGGATTTCCTTTGACTCACTGTGGGAATCGCCCCCCCCTCTTCCTGTTCCCTCTTGTCATTTCCCTCACCCAGACCCCCGCCACCTTCCGCCTAAACTACCCCAGCCTCCCGGCCCACCTCCCTGGCTGCAGCCTCTCCTCCGCGTAATCCAGGCTGCATATTGTTGCCAGATTTTGCCTCCCAAGAATTTATGTCAAAGAATCTATTTCTGATTGAAATTTGAGCCCCCAGGCATCTCTATATTCACAGAAACTACCAAGAAAAGTTTCGAGAAAGGAGTTAACGCTTTCATCCTGTGGTCATGTTTTCTCCTCTTCTCAGACAAGCCGGACTGCAAAGATTTGGGGGTCACTTCGCTAACACCCTGGAAACGAGGTGTCTGGCTGCATCTTCCAGCCTCTCTCTGACCCGTGAAGAGGCAGACACTGATTTACACATATATATTTTTTAGACAAAACTAACATTTTATATAGTCACTCCGACATGTTTCTGAGATGCTAAGGAAAGCATTCTCAGAATTCACTGCTTTTTCAATTCTGTTTGGTCCCTATGGTCCCTAAGGACGCCCTCCCCTCTGATCTCCCAGCAAGCCTCAGCCACTTCTACTTGTTGGCAGAAAAACATGGGTTATCCGTGCATGCGCCCCACCCCCCATCATCATTTAATCCAAAAAGCATCATTTACTTTGGGCGGACGAAAATGAAGTATTTTCATATCTTCAGGAGCACCCATGAAGCGTTTTGGTAAAATCTTTACAAGACACATGCCCACCCTATTTATTAATGTGGTTTTCATTTCAGAAGTTCTAGAGAAGTTCCATCTTGAAAGAATATGGGCAAAAGTTAACCGATTTACTTAAAAAAAAAACAAAAAACAAAAACATTTCAGGTCTGTCCCAGCCTCAGAAGTATAGTATTTAGCATCTGCCTTTATTAACTCTTCAGAGAAACTCTCCCTCAGCAGACAGAACTCTAGGCGCGGGGTCGAGCCAGAAGGTGTCGGAGTGGAAGAATTCTCTTTCAGGCGACACCCTCTCCATCTGCTTGAAGAATATCAGGCTTTGCCCTGGAGTCTTGGAGGCCTGTAGCGGTAGATTAAGTTTTGTTGTGTAGATTAAGTTTAAGTTTGTCTCTCTCTGGCCTCCAAAGCTCACTGGTTTCCTAGTTCTGTTTCATAAGCATGTACTGAATGCCTGTTCTCTGGCATATTCCAAAGCCCTGGGTTTCTTGTTGTTTTTTGTTTTGTTTTGTTTTGTTTTTGCTACTAGGAGTATAAACATGACTATCCTGTGGCCTCTTTCCTCGCAGATCTCCTAATTTCGGAAGGGAGACAGATGAGTAAATAGCTAGCTACCATCTTGCTTGATAAACGCCACGTTAGAGGTTTTGAACAAAGTGCCCTGGGAGCACCAGCGAGTGATTGATTCAAGGGAAGGGGGGTGGGGGTGGGGTGGGGACGGGGATCGGGAAAGACCAAACGGGGGAAGTGACATTTGAGTTGAGCCTTAGGGGATGAATAGAATTTTGCCAGATGGACAAAGGGGTGGGGGTGGGGATCCTCCAGACTCATACAAAAACATGAGAGCGTGGAAGTTTGTGCCTTTGTCTGAGCAGCGGTGAGCGGTGTGTAGGGCCGAAGGAACAGTGAGGGCGTGGAAGGGGGTGTCGGGAGTTGAGCGGGCAGATCCCTGGGGCCATGTCCAGCTGCAAGGTCCTCCCTGGCTCCTCGGGGGCCGGGGCCGTTTGGAAACAGGGAGACGTCCCGGCCAGATCTCTGTTTTAGAAAGAGAGTTCTGGCAGCAGAGCCTTAAGGCGATTTGGATGCGGGTGCCTGGGAACACGGGGGACCAGTCACAAGCTTCGGCCGTGCTCCCCCAGGAGAGGTGACGAGGGTCAGAGGCAAGGCAGTACCCGCGGGGCTGGAATGGGGGGCACGGACCCGAGAGGGACGCCTTGGTAACCGATGAGACGGGGGAGAGAAGGGGCAAAAAACAGCCGGGAGAAAGGGCTGGATGACTGGACCTGTGGGGTGTGGGGGTGCTCCCCAGAGAGCTTACGGGGCGAGTCCGCGGCTTGGTTTTGGGTACATGGGGTTCGCAGTGGAGCAGTCCCGACAGGAAGGCGTCGGTGCCCGAGGACGGCCTGCAGGGAAGCAGCATGGGCGGAGGGGAGTCCGCAGCCTCGGGCACAGTGATTTCCAATCAGGAGGAGCGTGAGCGGGACTCAACCCCCCTGGATCGGGATCCCTGGGGTTTCGGCTGTGAATGTGCTGTTCCTCGCAGATTCACCCGCACCCCCGGATCCTGATCTTGCCCTGCTAGGGAGCGGGGCCTGTGCCTCTCCCGCCTGCGGTTAAGAACCCACCACCATAGTGACCCGAGAGAACACGGCCTGTTTCATTTGCGCCCGGGGCACGGAAAGGGCGGAAGCACCTGCTGCCTCCGCTTCCTGCGGCCCGCCGCCCCGGAGAGCGAGCGCCCCGGAGAGCGAGCGCCCCGGAGAGCGAGCGCCCCGGAGAGCGAGCGCCCCGGAGAGCGAGCGCCCCGGAGAGCGAGTGCGGCAGGACGGAAGGTGCCAACAGTGGCTGCCCAGCACTCGTGCTCGAGGGGCACCTGGAGGAAGAGGTGCCTACCGGTGACAGCGGGCAGGTGCCCACCGCAGAGAGGGCGTGGGGTGACCGCCAGGGCGGGGCCGCCGGTGACAGGAGGCCAACAGGGGCTGGAGGGGCATCGGGAAGTTTGGGCAGTGAGGTCACGGGAGGAGGGCCTTGCAGGGCGGGGGCAGCCGTGGGACTGCAGTGGCGTCGCGCCGCGGACTCTAGTTCCTAGTTTATAGGATGGGGACGGTTAGCGCGGGGCGAAAATGGCCAGGCCCTGCAGGGGTGAGGGTGAGGGACGAGGCTGCCTGCCCTGGAAGGAATTCTGCGAGACCCAGCTTTCCGGATTCACCCCCTCCGCTCCCGGCCCCGTGCCCACCCTCCCTTCCGGGGCCCTCCCGTGCCAGCCCCCCCCCCCCCCCCCGCCCGGGCCCTCCCTCCCTCCCGTGCCGGGCGCCCCCCCGCCCCGTGCCGGGGCCCTCCCTCCCTCCCCCGTGCCGGGGCCCTGCCCCGCGCTGCGCGGCCTTCCCGGGCCTGCCTTCAGCGGAGACGGTGCCGAGGACGGTGCCTGGGCCCAGAGCCCAGGTGCTGGGTGGCACCGTTAGCTCCGCCGCTGAGCACGCGCCCTGGATCCGCAGTCACTTGACGGCTCTTTCCCCCGGTCTTCCCGTCGGTAACACCCGGGCCGGGGTCGCAAGGTGGCCCGGAAATCGCAGAGCACAGTGCCGGCGGACGGTGTTACCGTTTCCGGGGTACACTCGCTGGTTTCTCGCGTTATGGGACAGTTTTGGCTGAATCCGTTAATTCCCCCAACTTCGGTTTTTAATTCACTGCCCGGCAGGCTGGACGCTGGGGAGATGGTGAGAGCAAGCTAGTTCCTCCCCGGGGGGCTTAGGGTCCCCCGTGGGGGCAGAAGGTAAACCGGCGCATCATCTCTGACGGGTGGTTGTCCCCGTGCTGTAGGGAAGAAGCAGGCAAAATGAGGCAGGCTAAGGAGTTTCAGGGAAGGGGGCTGTTTTAAGGGTTTTTTTCAGTGTTTATTTTTGAGAGAGAAAGTTGGGGAGGGGCAGAGAGAGAGGGAGACACAGAATCGGAAGCAGCTCCAGACTCCCAGCTGTCAGCACAGAGCCCGACGCGGGGCTCGAACCCACAAACTGGGAGATCATGAGCTGAGCCGAAGTCAGACACCCAACCGACTGAGCTCCCCAGGTGCCCCTTAGATACGTTTTAAAGGATTCACTAATGCAGTAGATGCTGTGGGGTGTGAGTCAGAGTCAGAGTCAATGCCAAGGTTTTGGGCCTGAGCCAGTGGGTCAGGAGTGGTCTTGAACTGAAATTGGGAAAATGGGGGGGGGGGGGGCCGGGGAAGAGGATGGTGTTTGTGGGAATGCCTTGTCTTCTGCTTAACAGTTCCTTTGGTCCTTTGTGTGTGGTTTGTTTCTTTTTTTCAACCTGATTGTAAATGCTTTGAAGGCAAGAATCCTGTCTTAAATTCTGTCGTGTTTTCCTTCTGGGCCTGGAGACTCCTGAGTGAAAACAGGCATCATTCCAAATGTTCAGTGGAACGTGAAGCCTCACGAAAGTAAGGTCATGTGTTCCTTATTCAGTGACATCTGTGATCTTACCTGCTCTTGTTGGTAAACGCTGAGTTCCTCATTGGACTTGCGGTATCAACACAGGATAAACACTGGGGAGGGGGTGGTGGAGGGAGACAGACAAAGTTCACACTTGAACTTCCAAACTTTGAAACTTTCCAAACTTCCAGAACATTGGAATCAGACAGCCCAGGAAGGAGGGCATCAGGGAAGAATTTTTACATCGGTGACCTTGGCCATGTGCACTGCCATGGACTGTGGATTTTGTCCAGCTGTGTGAGAGCCAGGCCAGCACCCGTCTTCCAGGGCTCAGGGCTTCATAGGTCAGTGATCAGTCCAGGAAGGCTTTCCTGTATGTGTGCTGGCTGATCTGAGTTCGATGCTGATATTAAATTGGGCCCATGTCGTGCTGCATTCTCTAATACGTGCTAAAATATGTGTCTATGTATATGCATATATATGTATATAAATATAATTAAAGGGTGTAGTTCTAATTTGTTGTTTTTGAGATTGCTATATCAGTTTGATTATATCTCTTATTTTCTCCTTTAGTAATGTTTTTTAATTTAAAAAAATGTTTATTAAAAATTTTAAAAAACTGTTTATTTTTTAATGTTTGAGAGAGAGAGAGAGACAGAGCATGAATGGGCGAGGGGCAGAGAGAGGGAGACACAGAATCTGAAGCAGGCTCCAGGCTCCCAGCTGTCAGCGCAGAGCCCGTGTGGGGCTCGAACCCATGAACCGTGAGATCATGACCTGGGCTGAAGTTGGACACTCAACTCACTGAGCCACCTGGGCGCTGCAAATGGATTGTTTTATTTACTCACCAGCAGGCCTCTTAGGTGGAAACTGTTGTCTGTTATCTGCTGGTAGGTGGTGGAGCCAAGATCTGAACCCGTGCTGACAGGCGCGCTCTGTGCCAGGGAGCAGCGTGCTGTTGGGTCAAGGGTGTGGCTTCCGGTTCCTGCCTTGTACCTAGTAGGCAGAAGGCTAACCCACATAAAACGGTAAACAGCGGGGTAGCAGTTATTTCCAGACAAGAGGAGAAATGTGAGGAGTGCTAGAAGCATCATGAGTGATGGGGAAGCGAGTGGCCGCACGCACGTCGTCCGGGACTACGATTTGATTGCACATGGCAGGTCCTTGCTGCCCGTCAACCACCATCGTCACTGCTAGTTGGGTTATATCACTGTCGTCGTGGCCATTGGTTTTCATAAATCCTGGGGACCCAACTCCCAAATGAATGACCGTTCATGTCTGGGTTGAAAAGTTCACAGGTGGTTTCATGAACAGCACAGTCCTTGTGGCTTCCACAGAATGTGGGGACAGAAAGGCGATCCTTGAGATGAAAATCCTATGGATGTGGGGACGGAGGCTGAGAACACGCGTTCCCTGTACCCGGGACGCCAAGGTGACCAACATGTCTGGTTTGGAAGGGGTGTGTGGGTTTCCTAGGGTGAGTTAAGATTAAGATTGATAATTCAGGATTTGTTCTGTTGTGAGCACTGTGTTATGTGCGTAAGCTTCGATTAGAAACCCCGTATGTGTGTCTGTCTGTGAGCAACCACGCGCCCTCTGATAAGAAATCCTGTGGTCATGTTCTAATGCGGTGGCAGCATTTGCATCTTCTTGAGAAATTGTATCAGTGCCTGTGGTGTCATGTAGCTTGTGAGACAAACTTTGTCCCCTAATAAAAAGGCCACTTCCATGTGGCCTCGTGATTTGGAAATTAAGGCCCTCATTTATGATTATTGACTCCAGTGTTTTCTTGGAATATCAGTGAGGGTCCTGAGTGCTGTTTTAGTCCCCTGAACGGGCTGCAGTTCTCCGGGGGACCAGGCCTGTGCCTTGTCTTCCTCACACCTCTTCCAGCACTGAACACCGATGGCCTTAGATGGTGTAAGTAAATTGTGGTCGACTTGCATTTTCAAAGCACGTGAGGCCGGCCACCTCTGCGCCCATGGGAGTCACTTGTGGCAAAGCTCTATTTTCGGAGTTACATAACGCATCTGATCTTGTTCCTAGGTCCAGCCTGATGACAGGAGGGGCTAAGCGGGGAGCACCTAACCCTTGGCTCTTTGAGGAGCCAGAGGAGACCAGAGGCCTGGGTTTTGATGAAATCCGGCAACAGCAGCAGAAAATCATCCAAGGTACTGGACACCCCAAGAGTGTGGGCTCGGAAACCTGGTCAGAATCGTACCACGGCCTCGAATGTTCCTTACACCCATTGAGCATCACAGGGGAAGCTGTTGGTCTTTTAAAGCTCTTGGCGATTTTGTGCCTCAGGACACCCGAGGGATGGACCAGATGGTGTCATCCATCAAGGTAGCCCAGGGAAGTAGTGATTCTCCACTGGGAGAGGGCGCGCGCACAGCTCTGAACCTGAGAAACCCAGGTGAATCAGAGGCATGTGCCCACCTCCCTTTACTCTGTGGTGGGATCGTTCTCCAAATACAACACTCCCATCCCTCCCTTCCTCTGTCCCTCCTTTCCTCCCTCCCTGCCCCCTCCCTCGCTTCCTTCCAATTTGAGACAGAGAGAGAATCTCTACACAGAGTCCACACGGGGCTGGACCCCATGACCCTGGGATCATGACCTGAGCTGAAGTCAAGAGTCGGAGGCTCAACCGACTGAGCCACCCAGGCGCCCTTCCCATCTTTCTCTTGCACAAAATGAGTCCATTTGGCTTTTTATCTTCAAGTTCATCTTGCCCAGTGTCTTTTAAACCTAATTACTTTTTTACGTTCTTCTATTTTTTTTTTTTAAATTTCTGAAGTAATACATGATTGTTATAGAAATTTCAAGCAAGTCTGGGATATATAAAATGGAAAGCTTTCTTTATTGCTTCTCTGACCTCAAAACTGTAAACAGATCAGTATATATTTCCTCGGGCTTATTTGGTATAAGCACACACTTACTTTCACATAAATGAGATCATGATGAGGGGGTGGGGCCATAGCGCTTGCCCTCTTATTTAATGTGTGCAATAGATATTTTTCATGTTCCTATCTTTGCACGTGGTTTTTGTGTATTATAGATATGTTATTCTTTCTGTTTCTTTTTAAAAAGTGTTTTATTGAGGTATACGTGGCCTATCATAGATTGCACCTATTTGAAATGTACGATTCAGTAAGTTTTGACATACATATGACACATGCATGTTCTGCACATCTTTTATCAGATTTATCCTTGAGTATTTCATGTCGTCTATTCTCTTAACTAATGCTATTTTAAAATTTCTACTCCTGGTTGTTGCAAGTGTATAAAAGTACAGCCAATTTATCTCTACTGATCTTGGATCAGGCGACCTTGCTAACCTCACTAATTTGTGAAGAGCTTTCTCGTTGAGCCTGTGGGATTTTCTACACAAATGGTCGTGTCTGAGTAAAGAAGTTTGACTTCTTTCTTTTCAAAGACTTCATTTTTTTTTAAGAGCAGTTTCAGGGACTTAGCAGATTTGGATGAAGGTACCGAGAGTTTCCATGTGACCCCTGCCCCCAACCATGCAGTGTCTCCCAACATCAGTCCCCCACCCCCAGTGGTATGTTTGTCACAATTAATGAAGCTACATTGACACCCCATAGTCACCCAAAGTTCATGGTTTATCTTAGGGTTCACTCTTGGCTTTGTGCATTCAGTGGATTTGGACAAGTATGTGGTGACATGTATTCACGATTAGATGATTTATATAGAGTATTTACACTTTCTCTAAAAATCCTCCGTGCCCTACCTATTCCCTACCTCCTCAACCCTTAGCAACCTCTGATCTTTTACTTTCTCCATATCTTGCCTTTTCCAGAATGTTACATATTTGGAATCATATAGTATGTAGACTTTTCAGACTGCCCTCTTTCACTTAGTAATATGCATTTAAGTTTCCCCTATGCCTGTTCATAGCTTAATAGCTATTTCTTTTTAGTGCTAAATACTATCCCACTGCTAATGGACTCTAATGGATACACAACTTTGAAAAACAGGCGGGCAGTGTAAGCAGGGGGAAAGAACCAAAAAGAAATCGGAGAGCCCAAAACACTGTAACAGAAATGAAGAATGCATTTGATGGGTTTTTAGTAGACTGGCCATGGCTGAGCAAGGAATCCCTGAGCTTGAGAGTATCTCAAAAGAAACCTCCCAGAGTGAAAAGCAGTGAGCACAAAGACTGAAAAAAGAAAAAGCTCCAAATGTCCAAGGACTATGAGAGAATTATAAAAGGTGGAACACACAGTTTTAATGGGAATACCAGAAGGAGAAGAAAGTGATAAAGGAATGGAAAAATACTGAAACGGTCACTGAGAATTTTCCCAAAATTAAAATCAGGCCCCAAACCACAGATCTAGGAAGCTCAGAGAATGACAAGTAGGATAAATACCAAAAAACCCCGAATCCTAGGCATTCCCTTTCCAACCTACAGAAAGTCGGAGATAAAGAAAAAATTCTAAAAGAAAACCAGAGAAAAAATACCTCACCTATAGAGGAACGAAGATATAAATTGTGTCTGTCTGTCTTCAGAAACAATGCAAGCACAAAGAGTGTGGTGAAATATTTAAAGTGTTGCGAGAAAAAACCCACCAACCTAGAATTTTGTACCTTGTGAAATTATCCTTTAAAACTGAAGAAATCATGAGTTTCTTTTTTTAAAAACAATTTTAATGTTTATTTATTTCTTAGAGAGAGAGACAGAGCATGAGCAGGGGAGGGGCAGAGAGAGAGGGAGACCCAGAATCCGAAGGAGGCTCTAGGCTCTGAGCTGTCAGCACGGAGCCCGACGCGGGGCTCAAATTCAGGAACCGTGAGATCATGACCTGAGCCGACGTCGGATGCTCCACCAACTGAGCCACCCAGGGGCCCCATCATGACCTTCCTAAACAAACAAAAGTGGAGGGAATTTGTTGCCAGCAGACCTGCCTTACAAGAAATGAGTTAAAGTTTCTTTAAAGAAAAAAAAAAAAGATAATAGATCTGAAACTTGGGTCTACAATGAAAAGAAGAACTTTGAAGAAGGGATAAGTGAATTCTTTAAAAGAAAAATTGCCATACCCACGGCCATGTAGTTTTTCTCCTATGTAATCTTGGAGTTTTCTAGTTTTGTGTTTTATGTTCAAATCCGTGATCCATTCTGAGTTAATTTGTGTTGAAGCGCATAAGGTCTGTGTGTAGATACATTTTCCTTTTGCCTGTGAATGTCCAGTTAACTCCAGTACCGTTTGTTGAAAAGACCATCTCTGTGCCATTGTATTACCTTTGCTGCTTTGTCAGAGATTGTTGACTTTGTGGGTCCATTTCTGGATAGTCTATGCTGTTCCACTGATGTATTTGTCTTTTCTTTCATCTTAATTATTTAGTATCTTAAATTACTTAATTTAGTATCTTAATCATTATGACTTTCGAGTAAATCTTGTGGTCAGATGGTGTCAGCTTTCTTGTTTCGTTCTTTCACCTTTTGAGTCTTTTGCTTCATAATAATACATTTTAGAGTCAGTTTGTCAGTATCCACAAAATAACCTGCTGGGATTTTGATTGAAATTGCATTGGATCCGTAATGTGTGTGTGTGGGGGGGGGGGGCTGACCTCTTGACAATATTGAGTCTTTTCTATCCACGTCCATGGAACATCTCCCCTTTAGTTCTTTTGTGATTCCATTCATCAGTTTTGTAACTTTCCTCCTATACCTCTTGTCCATATTTTGTTAGATTGCACCTAAGTACTACGTTTCGAGGGATGCTAATGTAAATGGTGTTGTGTTTTTAATTTCAAATTCCACCTGTTTGTCGCTGGTTTATAATAAAGTGAATGGCTTTTGTATATTAACCTTGTATCCTGCAACCTTGCTATGACTGCTTATTAGTTCCAAGAGATTTTTGTCAGTTCTTTCAGATCTTCTGCATACATGATCCTATCATCTGCAAACACAGTTTTCTTTCCAATTTGTACATATTTTCGTGTGTTGTCTTATCTCATCTGAGGCCTTAGCTAGAACGTCTAGCACAGTGTTGAGAAGGAGTGGTGAGGGGTGACATCCTTGCCTTGTACCTGATATTAGTGGGGAAGCTTCAGGTTTCACACCATCAAGTGTGATGTTAGCTCTAGGGATTTTGTAGGTATTCTGTATCAAGTTGAGGAAATTCTCCTCTATTCCTAGTTTACCGTGAGCTTTTATCATTCGTGAATGTTGGATTTTGTAAAGTACTTTTTCTGCATCTGGTGATAGGATCATGTGATTTTTCTGTTTTAGCTTGTGGATGGATGGATTACATTAATTGATTTTTAAGTTTTTTAATGTTTGTTTATTTTTGAGAGAGAGAGAGAGAGAGAGAGAGAGAGAGAGAGGCAGGCAGCAGGGGAGGAGGGGTGCAGAGAGAGAGGGAGACACAGAATCCTAAGCAGCTCCAGGCTCTGAGCTGTCAGCACAGAGCCTGATGCAGGGCACGAACCCATGAACCGCGAGATCATGACCTGAGCTGAAGTCAGATGCTCAATCAACTAAGCCACCCAGGTGCCCCACGTTAATTGATTTTTAAACATTGAACCTGGCGTGCATACCTAGAATAAATCTCACTGATTGTGGTATATTATACATTGTTGGATTTGATTTGCTAATATTTTGTGAGGATTTTTATGTCGGTGGACATGAGTGATACTGGTCTGTTTTTCTTCTCTCGTAATGTCTTTGTCTGGTTTTGGTATTAGGACAATGGTGGCCTCAGAAAATTTTAGGAAGTATTCTCTCTGCTTCTGTCCTCTGAAAGAGATCACAGAGAACTGGTATAATTTCTTCCTTAAACGTTTAGGAGAATTCACTAGTGAACCCACCGAGCCTAGTGTTTTCTGTTTGGGGAGATTACTGTTAATTCATTTTCTTTACTGGATATCGGCCCATTCAGATCGTCTCTTCCTTCTTGTGTGAACTTTGTCAGCTCTGTTGTCTTGCAAGGAATTGAGCCATTTGGGTCTATGTTATCAAGCTTGTGGGCGTAACGTTGTTCATAATATTTCTTTATTATCCTCTTAACGTGCACGAAATCTGTAGTGATGTCTGCTTTTTTTCATTTCTGATGCTGTTTGTGTTCTCTCTATTTTAGTTAGAGGTTTATTGATTTTATTGCTCTTTCAACAAACCAGCTTTGGTTTCATTGATCTTTCTGTTATTTCC